AAAGCTTATTTTTAATTAAACAAGATAAACAGTAGAAATGCGAATTATAGAGAGTTCATGTCCTTGGCAGTAACAGGAAACAGAATACACCACATTACACACATCATTGGAAAGCAGTTTAATGAATTAAATGTGTAATGAATACATAATTATATAAGGTTAATTGTTGATCCAATTTCTCCACACAGATCAGCAGGAGTTCATCCCTTGTCCAATTCAAAAATACCCAAATCCTGAGAGAAACCAGTGCCTGCCCAAAGCAGTGACCTTCCTTTCCTTTGAGGATCCTCTGGGACTAGCTCTGGCCTGCACAGCTCTTTGCTTCTCTGTCAGCACAATTTCAGTTCTGGGGATCTTTCTCAAACACCGAGAATCAGCCATTGTTAAGGCCAATAACCGGACTCTTAGCTACATACTGCTCACCTCCATCCTCCTCTGCTTCCTCTGCTCCTTTCTCTTCATTGGCCACCCAAACACAACCTCCTGCATACTTCAACAGATAACATTTGCACTTGTCTTCACCTTGGCTATTTCCACTGTTTTGGCAAAAACTATAACTGTAATTCTGGCCTTTAGGGTCACGAAACCAGGAAGAACAATGAGAAGGTTCTTTGTCTCTGGTGTCTATAATGCTGTCATCCCTATCTGTGTCCTGATCCAACTCATTCTCTCTGGAGTCTGGCTGGGAACCTCGCCTCCCTATACTGACAGAGATGCACACTCTGAATATGATCATATCATTATTTTATGCAACAAGGGCTCAGTTACTGCTTTCTACTCTGTGCTGGCCTATTTAGGGACCCTGGCCTTAGGCAGCTTCACTGTGGCTTTTCTGGTGAGGAACCTGCCTGACAGATTCAATGAGGCCAAGTTCCTGACATTTAGTATGCTGGTGTTTTGCAGTGTCTGGGTCACCTTCATCCCAGTGTACCTGAGCACCAAGGGCAAAGCCATGGTGGCTGTGGAGGTCTTCTCCATCTTGGCCTCCAGTGCAGGGTTGCTGGGTTGCATCTTTTTCCCTAAGTGCTACATTATTCTCTTAAAATTTGATAGTAACTCATTGAGATGTTTGAAAAACAAAAAAATAGCATACAAAAACTGATCATTTTGATGTACTGGTTTCTCTAATAAAACTCATTAGTATACTAAAAATAAAGTATTTACCTACTTTTCAGAAACATTTTTTTCTCAAATATATATTTAAACAAAAATAAGAACCCCTCACTTTGTCTCACAATCACAGACATTTTATTTCAGAAGAGAAGCTGCTGCTAAAATTTTAGTATGTTATGCATGTTACTTATGAATTCAATTCATAGACAATACAAATATTCAAATGTAATTACATGACAGGAACTGAGATAAATAGTGCAAGAACTAAGTACTTCTTCTTTTTGTTATTTTGGGAAGTATAACAGGGCATTGGGTGGCATTTGATATTCTCTATATAACAGGCAAAA